ACTGGTGACCGCCTGGGAACACCAAATGCTCTTGGCAATAATGTTTAGGGGGGTAGAAATAGCCTTAGATACTCTATCCCTTTGAGATGTATTTCTTTCTTGTCTCAATAAACATACTTAAACTTGACAGTATTTACGTTCAGCAAGAGAACGGAGACTTGTGTTCAAAGTAGAGTGCAAGTCCATTGTAAAGTTTTTTTTTTTTTTTTAATTAAAGACATTATTTGTGTGTACGTTTCTAGGCAAGAAGTTAATGGCTCTTAACATTGGCTTGAGACTTGCTTAAAATGGTCAGTAACACCCTAGTTAAGTTTCAAAGTAATTTTAAGTGACCATATTTTATTGTGTAAGTTTACAATATTTAGTTATTTTCACACTCACCCACTTAACAGAAGAAGTGGAAACTATCAGGAGAAAGCCCTAAGCCTTTACAACTTACAGAAGAGTGGCTGGGCGCACCACAGAGAATACATTAAATAGGCATGTTTGTTTTATTCACGTTATTGAGAGTTTTCTCCGTTAATAGTTATGGGGGGTATTGTCACGAATATGTTCACACGACGTGCTATGAGAGGACTGAGAAGAGGTGCTGCTGCTGAACCCAGGGGTTATCTTGAGATGATTTCGGGGCTTTAGTGTCCCCGCGGCCCGGTCCTCGACCAGGCCTCCACCCCCAGGAAGCGGCCCGTGACAGCTGACTAACACCCAGGTACCTATTTTACTGCTATGTAACAGGGGCATAGGGTGAAAGAAACTCTGCCCATTGCCCTCGTTGAAGGGGTGAACGAGGCTTCCGCATTGTGTGAAGTGGGTAGATGGTGGTGGTGGTGGTATGCCACCTACCCCACACATGTGGGTAGGTGGTGGTGGTGGTGGTGGTATCATGCCACCTACCCCACACATGTGGGTAGGTGGTGGTGGTGGTGGTGGTATCATGCCACCTACCCCACACATGTGGGTGGTGGTGGTGATGTTGCCATGCCAGACTGTACTGTGGAGGGTTCCTGGTGGGGGAGGGAAGACACACGTCATGGGGGTGAATGTTCTGGTGGTCACCTTCCACTTGACGGAGGAGACGACAGGAAGCTGGGATATATAACAACAACATGAGCTTCCCGCCATGGGTCGCCTCCTGTATGTGTTGGAGGGGTGACGACCGTCGCAGTTGACCATACAAGCCGGTGTTCACAAAGGCTAGAGTGTAATCACTATGTAAATATCCCTTATCGCAGTGACAACAGCCAGCTAGCACGCACACACACACACACACTCCCACGCCATCTCGCGCCCATTATTGTCAATAGGGGTCGTAGTCCCTATCTCTCAACACTGCACCAGTTAACCTATCGCCTTTCCTGTCCTCAGCGTCATACTCATCAACGCTATTCTTAATTAAAAATCTAATTTCAGACACTTGACTAGCGACGCGATCCTAACGCCTTTAAACAAGAAGTCAATTTAATACAATGACATACCAATTCTGTCGACCTGAGTAATGCATTAATACAGTCGGGCCCAGCGAAGGAGATGTTAGCTACAGCAGTAAAGGTCAAGATAATACCAAATTTATTTCAGATGCTTTCCAATTCTCCAAAAGATATCTCCATAGTTTCTTGTGAAGACTGAGACAGCCTGGCTGTAGAATAGGTAAGGTAATTGTCAGGAGGAAGCGCCAAGTCACAACAACTATATAGCACCTGGAAGGGATAAAGATGTAGGATAGTATGGAGGGAGGGAATGGAGGCCCAATTACTTCGACTGTTGGGGGTGTGTGTGGGGAAGAGAGAGAGAGAGAGGTGGGAAGGAGTGATTGAAGCGAGTGCGGAAACAGCTTCCGGTGGGAAATCAGTAATTCTAGATAGGAAATGAGGCCATGAGCTCTGAGATAAATACTTTTCCCTGTGAAAGTTATTATTAATAATTGTGTTGATAGCGAGCTTGTCCATGTATGGCGGGAGGACTGGTGGCGGCAGGACTGGTGGCGGCAGGACTGGTGGCGGCAGGACTGGTGGCGGCAGGACTGGTGGCGGGTTTTCTCTGCCTGGCAACAGATCACTACAATCACTACATTAATTTTGGCAACTTCTGTGGGCAGGATAATCAAATCCGGCGTGACGTCTCCTTAGAGTTAATTTTTTTTTTAACCATCCTCATTCAGACCCGGTGGCATGAAGTACCTGGAGCTTTGCAACTACTTTATTCACTCTCGTGTTCTTGAAGATATCCTCATATTGCACCCAAAATTTGCCAGTGCAGGCTACTGTACATATGGCCCTGTGTAACTAACCATCCTGCGAGATGGGGACTTTTAGTATCACTGTTACCTTATTCACTCTTGTGCTGATGATGAGGTTCACCAGACCACACACTAGAAGGTAAAGAGACGACGACGTTTCAGTCCGTCCTGGACCATTCTCAAGTCAATTGTGGCTGAATATTTCAGCCACGTTATTGTGACTCATCGCCTGCTGATGATGATATCCTTATAATGTACCCATAGTCTACCAGTGCAGACTACTTATCACATGCCTCTGTATGACTAACCATCCTGTGTGATGGGGATTTTTAGCATCATATATGGCCACTGCCTTTTGAACGAAAGGCGGTGGAGTTTCTGATGGGGAAGGAAGAGACATTTGCGCATCGCGTTCCGCAAGGCGCGGTGCGGCCAGCCTGGGTGGCGTAAAAAGTGCGAGAAGTCAGGTCTCGCTCTCACTCCCTCTCCCGACCCGATCCACGAAGCGTACTCTCCTTCATATAGTCTAGGGTAGCTACTCAAATGCAGATGTACCTAAATGTGTTAATAAAAAAAAATCTTAATATCACCATCTATTTATTTATTTATTGTATTTATCTATATACAAGTACATTGGGTTTGTGAGAGTACATAACATTGGTGTTCTTACACGCTTGGAAAGTCACTGACACGCATAGCGTTTCGGGCAGACCATTGGTCACTGTCTCCCACATCAGAGCATTCAGTACCCAAACGTCAGGACATTCATTTTCTTGTTGACTCATCAATAATCTTTTATATTACAAGTGCGTGTGTGTGTATGTATGTACGTATATATGTGTATATATTATATATGTATATATATATATAATATAATATATATATATTATAATATATTATTATGCATGTACATGTGTATGTAACACTAACAATTATGTAACTAGATTCAAGAGATTCGCTATACGAACTATGGGGGTTCAGTTCCCGAACCGATTATGTGCCTCTGTAACCCTTTTCACCGCCATACGGGATGGGTATGGGGTGCATAATAAAGAAAGAAAGAAAGAGGAAAGGTCAGCTGACGCCATGGCCATACCACCCCGCCCTACAGTGCTTCAAGTCTACCTCTGACACGTCTCTTCTTAGTCGTCGCTCCTGTATCTACAGCAAACGTAGACAAATACATTTTTTCCAACCTTACCTTGAGGTTACCTTGAGGTGCTTCCGGGGCTTAGCGTCCCCACGGCCCGGTCGTCGACCAGGCCTCCACCTTGTCATTGTCAATAGTGACGCGCCTCAATAACGCGTTTCCCAACATTAGTATTCGTGTAGTCATCAGGAGGATAAACCCTTCATGCAAACTACACCTACCATGAAGTAGTGGTAGTAGTAGTTTCTGAAAGGCTAACTATTAGAAATACACAAAATAGCAGCATGAGCCAATGGTACGCTGCCATGGGCTCGGCTGTCATGGCCTTGTATGGCACCTCACCACCTGAATGCTACGTGGGGGGGGGGGGGGGGGCAAAGTACTGGTCGAGGGTGCTCTGGCTGATGTTTGGTTTAAGCTGTAGCTAGCTGTATATAGATGCTGTCTATGTTTAATGTTCCTGGAAGATTATACTTTACAACACAGGCGATACCTGACACATTGTAAACAGTAATACAGGTGCAACGTGCATTTCTTGGAGGTGATAGGCAGGTGTAGCCGCCCAAGCATGGGCATGTGGCCGCTCAGAGGCAGGGGCGAGTTCCTATCTTGGCTTTCGACCACCTACACAAACATGCATAAACTGATAGGAAACACAAAACAGAAGCTCGTTGCGTCTGGCTGAGATTTTCGTTCCCCTTATTATGCTGCTATAGAGTCTAGCGACATATCCCAGATATTGGTGTATATACACAGCTGACTTTCCAGCCCTACGAGCGCGCTGATCAAATCATTGCACTCTCTTCTCAAATTGTCGTATATTCAGTAGGCGATTTTAATTAGTAGCATACATGTTAAAATAATACTAACTTGTATTGGTGAAAATAGTCACTAAACATTTAACATTGAGGGGAAAAAAACGTGTCGGGGAGTTAAATTATCCACATTGAATTAATGTTATGGTGTGGAGGCTGATCTTTGTTGACATGTGTTCGATGTTGTTCCCTAATTGATGCATAGAGCAAGAGTTTCAGATTCTCCGTTAATTAATTATCATTTGTATGTATATCGAGTCACATCGGTATTATCCAACATGATTCAGACAAGGCAGCTAAAGCTTCATATAATAAACCTGAAATTGAACTAGACTTGGGCATTTCAGTGTCAAAAGCACACTGCAAAATTTTCCTGAGGGTGACTAACAATAGTAATCTCGATGAGGACAGGAAGCCGGCAGTTTGTCAAATGTCCCCCATTTTCCCTGATGATTTTTTCCAGCAGGATTTTATAATTTAACAGGGTTTTGGCATTACCTGCTTCGGTGTGTAGGGTTAAGGTTTCCCCCTAGGCCAACGACTGAGGTTGTTCTGGATGAAACCAACTACGGTTACCTAACTCTCGGGTACAAGTACTTGGCTACTTCTATATGCTAGATAAATACAGGTATAAAAAATAATTTGCCTAAATGTATTGCCTTGTTCAGGAATCAAACTTGGATCCAGTGAGTTTTTAGCTAACTACACTTATAGTGTTCAGTTTTCTCTGACTAGGCACATTTAGCTTCTTGAATAATACACATTTTCTCTTGAGTGATAAGAACATGTTTCTCAACAGCATCCACAAATTTATCTCCATCACCCGGCCCTTCTCGAGGTGTATGACTCCAGGGAAGATTGTAATGATAATTGTGGCAGCATGGACCTGGACCATCATCTTCAACCTCACCCCGACACCCATCATAGGGTGGACTAACTCGAGTAAGACCCTTCTTCTACATTATATATAATGTAGTATGTAATAGATTGCCATGGAGATGGGAAGCTTGTTAGCCTTATTGATGTCCTTTTAGCCAACTACTGGCCATATTCCCAGATGCCACCCACAACAGTTGACTAACTTATGAGTTCCTATTTACTGCTAGGTGAGCATTAGAATTGGGTATAGGGAAACATGCTCAAGAGTCTCACCTAGGCTGGGAATTGAGCCCAGGACCACTGTGTTGAGAGGCAAAGTTGCAGTTCCTCTGGATGGAGATCACAATATCCAAACTGGAGTAGGAAGTTGTCTATCACAGCAACCAAGTGGCCTATGCTCAGAATGTTATCTTCATCATTATTAAATGTAAATATTAGTTATTTGTATTTTCTTCATACCATATTTAAGAACACCAACATTAGTAATCATTCTTCCTTGAGGTGCTATAAAATCATGATTGTAATTATTTTTCTATCTCCACAGCTTACAAGAAAGGAGCATCACAGTGTGGCCCTCTACCGCCCAAGCAGAAGATGCAGTTTGTACATGCTTTTATCAACACGATGTTTAATTTGGTTATTCCCATAATCATCATGAGCTACTGTTACTATCGAATTTTCAAGGAAGTCAAAGATCATCTTAATAGGTTAGTATTGTGCAGCATTTTCTTGATATACCTTATAAAGTGATAGGAATATAAATTTTCTGTTCCGTGTGTTAGAATTCAAGCGTAGAATGTAATGAAATGTCTTTCTTGTGGGTCTCTATGTACTAGTATTTTCCCATATGAGTTACTGTACTTAAAACTTTATACCTGGAGAGAGTTCTGGGGGTTTTTCTACTTCCCAAGCCTAGCCTGGGGCCAAGCTCGACTTGGGATAACTTAGTCTAACAGGCATGCAGGCCTACATATCCACTGCAACCCAGTTGGTCTTGGTCCCAGTTGATACTATAGGTTCCATACTAGGCTCGGACAAATAATGAGTCCTACTGGAGATCAGGGTCAGTTGTACTACACATGTATGCAATAGCAGATAGCCCTATAGGCTGCATAGGCCTGAGAAAATTACATGTAAAGATAAAATGCATGTTCTAAAAATCATTGTATTTTTGACCAGAAAAAGTAGATACAGCATTGTATTGCAAAAGAAGCTAAATTCAGAATTGAAATTTGCTACATTTTTGGCTTGAATAAACTCGCAAATAATTCCCTGAAAATCGCATTTAATTATTATTAACACAAAAGCTTCGACTCGATGTACCTCAAGATAATGTAGCTCAATTTGTTGTATTACATTTATGACCTCTGGTAGTTATCAGTTCATTTTAGAGCAGAAAATGATCTCTCTTGACTATAGCTGGATACCCTTTGGCATAGTTACATATGCAGAGAGATAAATAATAATATAGTATATTTTAGCCCTGAACATAACCCAAGGCTAAAGTACTTCAGTACATATACACTGAGAAGGTAAGTACACTTCTTGGTGTGTATATATACCTCCAAGGACAAGGCAAAGCAATGAAAGATGTTTTCCAGTTGCTATTCTGAGACTGAGTCCAATGCTACTCACCCATTGTCTTTTATAGACTGCCATATTAGTGGCTTTATGTATTGTACTTTCCCTATCTACAACTTGTGTATTGGGAATGGTTGAGGACCACAGGGCTAACACTGCAAACCAGGCATGACAGGGTGGATCTCGTTGAAACTTTTAAAATACTGAACAATTTGGAGGATGTTGATCCAAACAATTTCTTCAAAAGGTTAGATGTAACAAACATGGAGCAATGGTTTCAAGCTCAATAAGCCCACATTGTATAACTGAGAATAGGAGATGCTTTTTCACCCAGTGCCATTAACCCATGAAACCACCTACCCGCCAAAACCTTAACTGCCAAAACTGGGTTGTTTTAAAATATGCTGTACCTTTAAAATACCTGGAAAAGATCAAGGCAATGGAGGAGGGGAGGACCTTTGACAAGCCGCCGGCTTCCTGTCCTCATCGAGGCCACTAGGGTTCTCGGATAAATAACTAGGCCCTCTGGTAAATCAGGTATGGTTATGGGGTCCACTACCACCCAGTGGATGGGTATGTGGCGCATAATTAATGAACTAAATTAATCAGTTTTACAGATCATTGTTAATTATTACTAACATGTAGATTAACACTGCAGCACCATCATTTTTAACCCAACCCACACAAAAGAAATCAAATTTTCAGTGAAGATTTTTCGATCCGTCCTGGACCCTCATCAAGTAGTTATTTGTTTCAGCCTCGTTATTGTGACTTATTCTCTGCTACATCATTTGTCTTAATTACTGTATTCTATTGAAGAAATGCCATTACCCTGAAAGTACATATATGTAATTAAAGGAAATTTTTAGGTTACAGTACTTCTTAAACTAAATCATTGATAAGCTGCCTATGTTGATCTTAAGAAATGAGGAAATTTGAATTATATTATATTGCATATTTTATTTAGTCATATTCCTAATTTTATACTTTGCAGGATGAGAGACTTTGCTGATGTGAGCGTGCGCAATTCTCTGATACAGCAGAAGCAAATCACTGAGACTCTCTGCATCGTACTCTCTCTCTTCCTGCTCTTCTGGATGCCATACATCATGTATTCTCTTTCTTTAGTTTTCTTGGGGTCAGAAAATGTTCCAGAAATATTGAACCCAATAGTAAGTACAACTATGATATTTCTTTGGAAAAATTAGAATTTCATGTTTGGTGTTAGAACAGCAACATTCAAATACAACATAAAAGTGCCAATTTTCAGGAATATATAATTTCTGAGCTATCTCACTCAGTTGCTGCCTTAGATGAAGTTCTGTAATCCCATGTGCAGGACCTCGTGCAGTTTTGATGGGTTGACATTCCGCACCAGTTTACAGTACTAGGCAAGTTTTCAAGTATCATAATGTGCTAGGGAGACATTGGGAAATATTCAGTCTAGCCCAGAATGACCACTAGAAATGTATTATTATTCCATAATAATTTTTATTTATTATGTAAACAAAAGAATAATATGCATTGGCTTAATATTGTTATAAAAAATGTGTATTAAAGGCCACTACTATGTAAAGTGCTTTAGGCATAGCTTAAAATAATTCAGTAAGGTTGTTTAATGGTTTGATGAGGTGACACTTAATACTAACAAGAAGTAAATAAACATAAACATTGGTCAAGTAATTTAGCAAGTGATATACAGCTTTTAAGGAAGGCATAATGTAAACAAGAACAGGAAAAAATGAACACGTGTTATGGGGTAATATTTAACATTAAATGGGAAATGATAACATTTTTGAATTGTTAAAATAACTGAAAATATTTGACAGTTATACATGAGACATAAGACATTAAAGAAAACTCACTCCGTTTAAGTGTTAATATCACATAAACTCCCAAGCAGCACTTTTGCTAATTATATGTTGGTATAAATGCTATGCCAGTCATGGCAGACTGTCGGGAACAGGTTGCTCTCTTCCCAGTTGACCCCGGTAAATACAGAAATTAACTTGTGATCTCCTTCAGACTTCAGCAGAGATATCCCCTTACATCACAGATGGGTAATATCTTAATTGCATGCATACCAGTAATATAATATATCCTTCCAGGAGCCAGATTCACGAAGCAGTTACGCAAGCACTTACGAACCTGTACATCCTTTCTCAATTTTTGGCGGCTTGTTTTACAATTATTAAACTATTAATGAGCTCCGAAGCACCAGGGGGCTGTTTATAACAATAACAACAGTTGATTGGGATGTTTTCATGCTTGTAAACTGTTTAATAAATGTAACCAAAGGAATCAAAGATTGAGGAAAGGTGTACATGTTCGTAATTACTGTACTTGTGTAACTGCTTCGTGAATCTGGCCCCAGGAAGATTACTGTAACAGATGTGATTGTTAGGGAAATTAAAGTTCTAGAAGACACTGTACATGTATTCTTTACTTAAAATAGTGGACATTTGATCTTCATGATGGGCTAAGCAATCACAGAACTGATCACTTCTGAGGAGCTGACTAAAAGTGAGTGTCTCAACACCTTTCTCGTGGCTGACAAAACTATAACAGACCTGAGTAGATACTGGATTCATGATAGTTTTCCTTTATTCTTGATCCAATAAAGGGTTTGATAAACCATGATACTGGAGTAGCACCAGTAATTTAATACATAATTAGAAGAATAATTCTTAATAGTGAAGGCAGAACATAATATGAATATCAGTGCCAACTTCTGTAACAGTACTGGAGGCATGGCTGGCTATCTTAGTTTATATCAAGAGATTAATGGTCATATCTATCTAAATTAAGTCACCTAAAGCACCATTTATCTTACTTGAATACCTCAAAGTTGTAGTTCCCCCACACACAACCCACCTGATGCACTATATTTGGTCTAGATGTTCCAAAGCATGTTCCCTCCTCACCAGCTCTGCCACAAGAAGAGAACATTGTTGCTTGCTGCATCCCACACCATTCAGACATTTCCTTCCTTGTGTCAAACACTTCCACTCTCAATTTGTGACTGTAAATTATTCTTTCAATTTAATTACATCCCTTTCTCAAACACTGGATGATTGGTTTAGGCACTCTTCCAGCCTCATTGGTCCACACTCCTGTTCAGCAGATTTCTTACATTCCCTGTGTATTTCACATCCATGCAGATATACATACAAGAAGCCCAGGGCTGGAGATTCAAAATGGTAAGGGTACTTTAGGGTAATACAACTTTTGCCTATATTAGGTCATTCTTACAGCCCTGCCTTACTGTGGCAGTGTAAATATATCAAATTCTTCATTGACAGAACTAATTCTAAAGTCTTTACTTTTTTCAGGCGTACTTATTTGGTTATATGAATTCTGCTTGCAACCCTATTATCTATGCTCTTCGTTCACAATCGTTTCGCAGAGGCTTCAGTGAGATTATCTGCCGGAGCCACAGAGTACCAGGTGTGTTTCTAAACTTGAATCTTGTATTTGAGGCATCTTGCATCATTGCATGTGATAGAATATAGAATGGCTACTGTATTTTGCTTGAGCTTATTTTGTTATTTGTATAACTATAAATATTGATGCTTTAAGCATATGAATATAAAATGTGACTTTGTATATCTGAATGATTTCACATGTAAGAACATTAAACATATTCCTTTTCTGTGGGGAGCCCCTCCGGCTCCCTGGAGCTATCAGGCTAATATGCGCTATATTAGACCAGGGGGATTAGTCAACGGAGTTCCGCCTACTAGGGACCACAAGCCAGAACCTGGCCCCCTCAGAGAGGCACATGGAGCAATGGCCCCTTGGAAAAAAACCCTGTGGTTGGGTTTTTTCTTATTTACCATCAACTGGGGTTAGGCACACAGAAAGGTAGACATAACAAAACAGACCCCATATGGTAAGAAAATTACAACCAAAAACTGAACAGAGGCAGAACTCCCTTAAATCCCAAGGAAACGAGCAAATTTCACACCTAGCCGCTGCGCCGCTTGTCTGCACAGCCATCCCCTCCCCAAGAGGGGGAGGGGAAAGCCCCGGACCCCCCCCCCCCCTCCGCATCGGCTACCCAGCAACTCCCGTTTGTTGGCTAATGCGATAGAGGGCGGTCGTCAACTATGGCCTCGGTTTCCTAGCAATGTTTTGCCTTAGTGGTGTCCTCTGCTGTTTGTGGTGTGGTGGCCAGGTGTACTGCTGTGTACCGGGACTGCATGCGCTTAAGGCAGCCTTCCCTAAGTGCCCTGTGATTACTACCCTCGGGTGTGGGACATTTGGGGCTTGAATCTGATTATTTAAATATTAATGTAGTAAATTAAATTACGAAGGACCACCCGCTTTTATAGTAAAGAGGGAAACTGAGAATTTCTGATCATTAGATAATTCCTAGATGAACCAGTAACTATGGATAAAATACTAGAGAATATGATCATAGAAATAATTAATGGGCTGTATAATTAAATGAATCAAACCCTCAAACACCTACATTGGGGGGTTATTACTGGAACTCAGTACGTCCAGGAACTAGTGTGGTTCGTTCACTAATCCAAATTATAATAATCTAATCCTATGAATTATAGCAAAACCAATGTCATTACCAAGAATGGGAACATAGATTATGAGTATAATAATGATAATCACAATAAACACATGTTAATCCAAAGAATTCTGCATGTAAATAATTCCAGATAATTAATAAATGAATACAAAGGAATCTTAGCTTAATGACGATTCCTTTGTGTAAGTCACGACGCTTCCTCTAATTCCCTGGGCTCGGCTGGCTGACGAGTGGGATGGATTAACATGGGAGAAGGCGGCAGGGAGAATTCTTCTCACGTGCTGCAAAACAAATATTTACAGTAGCAACTAATTAAGCTACGGAATCTCTATGTTCAAGAAATTAATATTTACAGGCGATAATGGGTAATGACCTGTGGTTTGGTGTTGGTATACGTCGTCACGGCCAATCACCCAGCTACCATACTACACCTTACGCGATGCATCAAATAAGGATAAGATACTTAGCTAATATGGGCACTGTATAAGTTTTAAGATTGCCGAAATTCGCGTCCCAGGCTCTGGCTTCACCCTATCCTGGATAATGGCGCGCTTCACTGGCCGGTCACTTGTAGTCAAGAACCAGATTAAAAAGGTTCCTTATGTTACACCGACACCAGTTGAAGATATTATCTGCAAGGTTGTTCACGCCTCACAGTGGCGACTTTCATCTGAGGATGGATAACGTCTACCCTGATGACTGGGCAATGGCGTCTCCTCATGAGCACGATGAGGACAGGTCTGCTCGAGAGCTTCCATCCACGTGTACTGGCGTGCCCTCCTCACCCACGCCGCGTCTCGCGTTCATTAGACAAATTATTGTCATGAATATTAGTATTTCTCGCATTTGTGCTTGAAATGTTGGAGACAGGACGGGTTTATTATTTAGAAGAGGGAAATATTATTATTTGCCAATTTAGTGATAGTAAACATATAAGGGAGAGGAATTAATGTCTCTCCATGGCATTCACTTGTGACGTTAACTTTTATTACTAGATAACCGCTATGACTCTAACGCTCTATTCGGCTTTTAGTTGGAGGTCAATTTATCTGTAATTAATTATCACACAGAATGCCTTGGTTATAGAGAATCGAATTTAATTCTCAGATACATTGGATATAACGTGTTTATTGTAATGAAATCTGACGCAATACTGGCGTCGGGTGACGTGAGAATTCTAGCCTACTGCACAGATGAAATTATTAGTACATGAGAATTCTACGTGGTGTTAATTTTACTTACTACAATAATTAGTAGAGTTAGTAATAAGTAATGAGAATACAACAGTGTTGTATTCGGTGTTGGAAATTTCCAACATTAGGTGTCAGGGTTCTCTTCCTTGATGCTTTCGGGATGCCATTTCCATAGGGGTTTTTGCTGCTCAGCATTTACTCTACCCTTGGGGCCAGCTGGGGTTTCATGGCCCTAGTTTGGCCTTGGGAAGGGAGTGGTATTTTTGCTGGTTGGGGCATCAAGGTGTTGAGCAGCCAGTTCCTGTTTTCTCTGGGAACATTGTACTTTTGTGGGGGTTTCTTTTCCTTTTTGTTTTGTTTGCCTAGTGTGGCTATATGACTGCTTATAATAATTTGGTGGACCTTTGCTAAGCCCCTGTGATTGTACACGTCGCAGGGATTTCAGTGTTGTGATCTCTCCTTGTTAGCTTTGGGTCTAACTGGTTAGCAGCACCTTGCTCAGGCTTCCCGTAGTAGTCAGCCTATGGGCCCTGGTAAACCCTGTCAGGTCTCGGTGGACCTGTGGATGCATCTTCAGAGTTCCTGCTTGCCTCATGCGAATTTGAAGGTTGCTGTGTGCCCTTGTCTCAGGGTGACAGTCACCGCTTTTGCCCCTCTCATGTTGGGTCACAGATACCTTTGACTTAGATTATTGCGAGACTTGCTCTTTGCTTGTTCTCCAATTAACCCATTCTGATGACATTAATATTTGGGTACAGGCGGCATCCATGTTGCACGCTAGGTTTAAGTTGCTGCAACGCGCTAGGCTGAGTGCCCACCCGGATGCCCCGAGGCTGCCCCTCTTTGGTTATAGGGACCTGGACTTAAGGGCGTTAGTTGCTTCGACTTTGGTTCCGTCCGTGCTCCCCTGGTCCTTTCCCTGTGTTCGTCCTGCAATCCCCTCCCTTTCTTCCGGCTCCCAAAAATCTTTGAAAGTTTCGGAGTCTGAGCGAGGTTTACTTGTTAATGAGACTAGGGCAGCTTTAGGAGCTGCACCATTTGGGTTGTGGACGGATGCATTCAAGCCGGTTCCTCCTGCTGAGGCTTCTGGGTCCCACCAGCATGCCCCTTTCTTCTCTGCCTTTCTCCTGGACTCTGCCTTTTCTTCAGGAGTAGAGGGTATGAAGGACTGCTCTGCCCCAGGTCCCGCTTTGGGGGATCCCGGGGCTGGAGAGGAGTTAACCTGTGGGGCTTGGGCCCCCTTTGACCTCACTTGGGTGTTGGTGTCCTCTTCGCGGGGCTTGTTGTTGCAGGACAAGGAGTTTTCTTATCCCCCCTTCCCTGTATAAGTATGATTTGGGGCCAATTCCTCCCCTGGTTTGGTTCCAGGTTTCCTTGGGTTCCTTGGTTCCTTCCTTCCAGAGGTTTTCTGCCTCTTGTATCTCGCCTAAGGAGGTTTGGGAGGTGCTTGCTGCATACCTCTTGTGAGACTCGAATTATGCCTGTTATGGATTCATCCTCCTTTGAGTTCGGTTCTTCTTCCCTGTATTGGGTGCATTTTTGGAGGTTCCTGAATCTTCCTGGCTGGCAGACTGCCCATTCTTATCATTGGAGGCATGGCATGGGTTCTGTCAGACCCGCATGCTTGAATGGCGAGACTCTTCTACGGTTCTGCAGGTTTATCTGGGGGGCAAATTTGAGCTCCTTAATGTGTGCTTGTTCGCCCCTGTGCTTCCTCAGGATGTTGGCCTTGTGCAACTACACGTGCAGGTTCCCTCCCTTTTGACGCCTTTGGTTGCTGAGGACTTATGAACCTGTGGGCATTTGGCTTCGGTCTTGCGCTTCTTTTCCCTTCTCGAGCTGTCTTTGAACTGGCTTGAGGAGGACGTGGGGTATTGAGTGCTAGGCCTTCATCTTTGGTGCTGGCCTCTCTCGCAATTGTTGGGTTCGGCCTCCAGGGCTCTTGCATGTTGCTGCATCGCCGGCTTCCTCTTCGGGTTTTTCGGGGTTCAGTGCCTTGGCGCCTACCCGAGCCCTCGAGCGATGTGTTCACAGACGTGTCGTCTCTGTTGGGGGTTTGTGACCAGTGCTCACCAGGCTGGTCAGGGGCGGTGGGGTCCATCCTTTCATCAGACTCAGAGCTCGATGCGGGCGTTTGCGGTGGTTTGGTTGTCACTTCGGAGGGTTTGGGTCACTCGGGGTTCAACCATCCGGCTTCATTCGGACTGTTCTCTGGTGATTCGTTGCCTGAACTGTGGGGGTTCCCTTCAGTCCTTACCTCTTTAGGGCTGGTCGCTTCGAGTGGCTAATCTGCTGGGTTGTTGGGGTTTGGCTTTCCATGCGGTTCAAATCTAGGGAGTGTCCAACGTCCTGGCGGATGGCCTGTCTCTGTTCATTTCCCTGTCTATGGAATGGACGGTAGATGCCGACTCCTTCAGTTAGCTCTGCCATATGTACGGGCTCCCGGAATATGGGCCTCTTTGCGTTGGCGTGGTCTCAGCGTCTCCCGATCTATGTGGTTCCCTTCCCCGACTGTGGAGCTTTCATGGTGGATGCCTTTTGGCAGGGCTGGTCGAGGTTGGGTTATCTGTACCTTTTTCCCCCTGGTTCAGCTGTTGCTTTGGGTTCTGGTTCAGTTGGTCTTACCATAGGAGAGTAGTCCACATGGCCCCTTGGTGGTCGCCCCAGCCTTGGTTTCAGGTGCTGCTTGATCGGTGTCTGAACCCAGAGGTTTTCTGCGGCTTTGCCTCTTCCAACAGATCAGACCGGTCCAGTGCACGACTGGTTCGGTCTTCTCCGCTCTTCGCATCTGGTCTTTTTGACACGGGTTTATTACCATTTGTATGGTGATATGGTGGCTTCGTTGAGGGTGTCCAACCTGAGAACTTCGTCTCGGCAACGATAAAAAGTTTCCTGGTATTCTTTCTACTATTTTCTCTCTCCATATGCTCTTTCTGCTGGCATTGAACTCTGGGTGTCGGATTGGTGAGATTCATTTTCTTCGGTGCAGGGCTTTCTGCTCTTTTGGACCTGGTAATCGGTTTGTTCGGTTGCAGCCTACTCCCTCTTTTCTGAAGAAGAATGAGATGGCTGCTTTCCAGAGGGGTCCTTGGGTCATTGATGTTTGGTTGGTCAAGCCGGGGGGGGGGGGGGGGGGGGGGGTGGCATCATGTGTTGTGTCCGGTTGCAGCTCTTCACTGTTACCTGCGCACCTCGGCTTCTATGGCTGGGGATGTGCTTTGGGTTGATCCGGTTTTCCACGTTCCCTGTTCCAGGGCTCAGATCTCCCAGGTCGTCCGCATGGTTATTAAGTCTAGTCAACCTGTGGTCTATCCTTGCGCCCATGGCATTCAGAAGTTTGCTGCTTTGGCAACCGTCTTCGGCAACATGTCTTGGGCTGATATTTGGGCACAGGGATTTTGGAGGTCGAACAGGGTCCTGGCCACCTGTTATTTGGTCAACAATCCTGGTCCCTGGGCATTCATGTGTGGCTTTGGGTCGCAGGTTGCAACCAGTTCTCTCACCTTAGAGTTGAGAAGCATGTGGCAACCGCCTCCTAGGTAAGTCCCTCTTTTCCTTATTTTTGGGTATGCAGCTTGAGGGAGCCAGAAGGGCTCCCTACAGAAAACCAGTGTTGAAATTAATGAAATGCCATTTTCTGGGTGAGCCTTGAAGGCTCTCTGGCACCTTCTCTCCCTCCGGTTGGCAGTTTTCGCTTTTGTTTTGATGCCTAGCCTCTGAACTGGAGTTGCTGGGTAGCCAGTTCAGGGGAGTCCACCCCTAGCCTCGTCCTGGGGTCGGAAGGGCTGCGAGGGCGAGCGGTGAGGTGTGACGTTTGCTTGTTTGCTTCTTTCCATGGGAATTGAGGGAGCTCTTCCTCTCTGTTCAGCTTTCGGTTGCAATTTTCTTAACATGTGGAGTCTGTTTCATTATGCCTATCGTTTTGGGTGCCTAATAAGGAAAACCCCAACCACAGGGGGGGGGGGGTGTTTCCAGTGCCATTGCTCCCCTGTGCATCTCTGAGGGAGGGGGGGGGGGGCAGGTTCTGGCTTATAGTCCCCAGTAGGTTGAACTCCATTGACTAATGCCCTGGTCTAATGTATCACATATTAGCCCGATAGCTCCAGGTAGCCTCCGGGGCTCACCCAAAAAATGGCATTTCATTACATTCAATGCTGGTTTTTTTATTTCTTCCATACACTGTACATATAGTACATATTATATAATGGCTGATGCAGATATGCTTGGAATACAAATGTAAATAAATGCTAAAGAAAATTTTATGTTTATATGAGATCAGATGAAATTACAAGAGGAATACAAAGAATATAAGGAAATACATATCCTATGATAGCAAATTGCTGAAGTGTCTTGGTTAGAGTCAAGAGCACAATTTTTGCTTAGAGGAGCCTGTAAAGCTTGAAAGAAAGATTTTTGAGGGATGCTTCAAAGCATTTTTGCACTAAACTAGTACCAAAAAGTATTACTTGCCATTAATTAATGTCAAGTATACTCAATGCTATTTATTTACTTGCCACCAAGATAATATACCTGTCATCTATTAATCTTACAGTACAATATTTTGGTTATTAATGATAAATAAGTAGATGTACAAGAATGTAACAACTCTTGTATATATAAATACAAAAATAAAATAAAATAAAATAATAAAAAAGATGGATGCCTGGTAGTGCCTGGGTCAACTCAAGTCTCCCACCCACCCTCCCCCTCTCCCCATGCCCTCCCCATCTCCCCTCAACACACACCCTCCCCATCTCCCTCCTCCCAGCATACACCCTCCCTGTCTCTTTTCCCCAGGATATACTATCCCTGTTTCCCCCTCCCCCCCCTCCCTAGGCAGCACACACCATCCCCATCTATACAATACAATACAATACAATTTTATTTAGGTAAGGTACATACATACAATAAATATTTACAAGGATTGTTTGACTTATAGGTAGAGCTAGTACATACAATGCCTAAAGCCACTATTACGCAAAGCGTTTCGGGCATGATAAACGTAAATGACAAGCTTAATACTAATTGAGCATAATGAGTAGAATGAAAACAAGAAATGAAAACATAGATGAAAAAGCAGCACAAATACAATTATGTCGACAAACAGCGCTCTTTAAAGAAAAAAACAGACATTGGTTGACAATAGAAGGGTAAGGTAGGTTACAGGGAATTTATTAGGTATAGCTTCGCTTTTAACTTAAACTGGTTGAGAGAGGTACAGTCTTTAACATGGTTGGGAAGGTCATTCCACATTCTGGGCCCCTTGATTTGTAGAGCATTTCTAGTTTGATTAAGTCGTACTCTAGGAATATCAAAACTGTATTTATTTCTGGTGTGATGCTCATGGGTTCTGATACAACCTTCTATGAAGCTTTTGAGATCAGGATTGGCATTATAGTTTAGCGTTTTATATATGTATAATACACATGAGAGAATGTGCAGTGACTTAATGTCTAACATATTCAGAGATTTAAGTAGGGGTACCGAGTGATGTCTGGGGCCAGAATTGGATATTGTCCTAATAGCAGCTTTGTGTTGAGTAATTAGAGGACGTAAGTGATTTTGGGTAGTAGAGCCCCAAGCACAAATACCATAGTTGAGATATGGATAGATAAGGGAGTAATAGAGAGTCACCAGGGCAGGGCGTGGTACATAATATCTGATCTTAGAAAGAATGCCCACAGTTTTTGAAACTTTTTTTGATATGTTTAGAATGTGTCCCTGGAAATTAAGCTTGTGGTCAATGAGAATGCCAAGGAATTTGCCATCTAATTTGTTACAAATTTGGGTATTGTTTATTTTGAGATTTATTTGATTAGAGGATTTATTGCCAAACAGAATATAAAAGGTTTTGTCAATGTTAAGGGTGAGTTTGTTGGCAGTTAGCCACAGATGGACTTTATTTAGCTCAGTATTTACTGTGGCATTTAGAGCAAGGGGATCAGGACTGGAGTAAATGAAGGTTGTGTCGTCAGCAAATAGAATTGGTTTGAGGTGTTGGGAGGCATTTGGAAGGTCATTAATGTAGATGAGAAAGAGGAGAGGGCCAAGTATGCTGCCCTGGGGAACACCAATGTTGATGGGTAGGGTGGGAGAAATTGTATTATTCACAGAAACATATTGGAGCCTGTCAGTAAGGTAGGATTTGAGGTATTGTAGGGAGTGTCCTCTGACTCCATAATGATGTAATTTAAGAAGAAGGTTTTGGTGGTTGACAGTGTCAAAAGCTTTACGCAGGTCCACAAACAACCCAACAGAGAACTCATTTTTATCAAGAGCTGTATGAATCGAGTTAAGCATACTAATAAGTGCATCGTTAGTGCTTTTTTTGGGTCTGAAGCCATATTGGCAAGGGCTAAGTATATTGAGTTTGGCTAGATATGAGTAAAGCTGCTTATAGATTAGTTTTTCAAAAATTTTTGACAAGTTTGGCAGGATAGATATAGGTCTGTAGTTGTTAACATCTGTGAGATTACCACATTTGTGGACAGGCGTTACTCTCGCTTTTTTTAGAATATCTGGGAAGGTTTGGAGTTGAAGTGACTTGTTGAAGAGCAAAGCAATAGCAGGGGCTAAAGATCTGGAGGCTTTTTTGTAAATTAAAGTTGGTATCTCCTCAAGGGCACCAGACTTGGTTTTAAGGGAAAGGATTATCTCATTGAATCTCCTCTCATAACTGTAACCATTTCCCCCTCCACATTATCTCCATCACTGTAACCAAATGTTTGCATCCAGAATGCAAATCTTGTCATCTGAATCTGCATTTACTTGTCATTATTGGAATACACTAATATTTAAACAAGTTCTAAAACCTATATGGACTCTGGTAGGGTAGTGAGGTAGAACACTTTATATGTCCACTGACTTCAGGAAGGAAGTGCATAATGGCTGACTTTGCCTTCAAGGTGGCATAGGGCCAATCCTGACCCCATCATGACACTCCTGACAAAAGTGCCATTATCCTGCGAAGTTTAATGAGGCTAACCTTGAGCAGAGAAATGGATATTCAATTATTAATATATATATATATTGTATGTTGTTGATTCTTTTGTTGATGATGTAGCCTAATATATAGACCTGAGATTCATAGTTATACTTAAGTTGCACAGTCTTTAAACCATGTTTAAATTTAAACTGATTTATTAAACAATTTCTTCCATAAAGTATGGCTAGTAAGGATTGTGATAATATTTCAATACTGTAATTAATTTGATAACTATTGATATTTCTAGAATATAATTTATGCAGCAGTGTTTAGTACTGTAATGAGAAACCTTGCATATTTTTGTTTTCAATGTATTGCAGCATATTCCTTTAGCGGTGGATCCATCATCCATGGACGGTCAACTCTTAGAAGGACCGCCACTGGTAAGACTCTCACAAGCATAAAGCAGGTGTTTTTTGTGAATAGTCTCATATTTTTTTATCTGTATGAAGAAATGAATCTCTTGTTAAGTGCTATTTGTTTGTGTACATTTGGAGATTTCAAGGAACATTGTTAAACTTGTGAATTAGGGTGTGCCATAAAGGTTTTTGTCTTCAGTATTATTTCTATTGTCTTGGGTGTATGGTATATATTCTGAGGTTTGAGTTGGAAATGTATTTAGTGACCTTTCACAAATGTTTAATCTTAATACAAATATTTTATGTATAAAATGGCTTTGTTTGTCAAGAAGGCTTTGAGAGTAGTGAACCTAGCATAGGTTTGTGACTAATGATGTTTTGTCAACTTTTTACTCATTGTGACATTCATGCCCTAGTGCAGAAAAGAATTGATCAAAAGTTTGCAAAACTCTGCAACAATCAAAATGCTTAAAGACTGTTAAGTGATATAGACAGCCATGCCTACAGCCTGGGGACCCAAGCCTCCACACTAGCTGAGAAAATAGCATTTATACAACAGGAACAACAGCTTGAAGGCTTATGACAAAATGCTAGAAAAACAAAGATGATTCGGCCGACAAGACACGAGATGTGCAACTCATTAGATACATGAGAAACAGCCCAGAGCATTAAAGGCCAGGGGTAGGCAGCTCAAAAGAGCACTGAACAGAATCCAGGAAAAAAGAGCTTGAGAATAGGGGCTAAAAGGTCTAGAGAAGCAGGCACCCTGGTTAGCCACAGCACCAGCCAATCCCTACCAACCAAGAACCCAAAGCACAGAGTCTAAAGGCCCCACAGAATAACACTAAGAGTGCACATGGCTAAAATCCACAAAGACCAGGGCAACCAGCCCAGGAATGAAGGCGAGAGGGGGAGGGGGAAGGACCATAGAACACATTAGGGAGTCAGAGCATAGAACCCAGGACCTATAGGTGAGAAGATACCCTTGGTAATGCTAGGCAAGACAGACAGCAGACACACAAAAAGAAACACAAGATATGTACATCATAGATGTGCCAACATAGCAGAAGAGTGTGATGAGGCCATGAACAGCAGAACATCACGGCTCAGGTAGCCACTGACACCACCACCCTAAGGCCCACTGTCCTGCAGAGAGAAGCTACTTAAGGAAGGGACAAAGTTATTTTACATTAACTGCATTTATTGTTTATCAGTTTTAAAAATATAAAGTTAAATTTCGCAGAAATTACTGGCTTGGTGCCTTCTTTGATAATTAATTACTTCCCAGAAATTATAAGGAACTGCATTAAAAAATGCAACAATTAATTTATTCAAAGCTTTAAAATAATATGTTATTTTATTAACCACTAAACTGCGCAACACGCCTGCAGGCGCTCAACAGGGGGTGCACAATGCGCCTCCGGGATCTTATATTTTTAGCGTATGATTCAAAACTCTCGCGGCTACATGGGGTTCACATCAGCTTCCTCAGGGCTCTTGTAAACAGACGCCATTTAAAAAAAAAATCGCGGGCAACATTCCCGGGTGTGAGAGCCTCAGTACTGAGTGAGCAACCAAGGCTGGCGTACGCAGCATGAGCTCACAGCACTGCTGTTCAGTTTGTGACTACAGCATCGCCTAATAATGTCAAAATATATATATATAACTGGTATTATTTAACCATGATAGAATTACAGAAGAGCCTGAGTGTGATAATGACTGTGTACAATGTTCAAATATCAGTGAATTGATGCCGTTCACGATGTTCACAGCTCTAGCCACAGCACCACAGCATTATTTCGTCCCTCTAGGAATCTTCAAAGACGTCATATGTCACTTTACAAAATAAACCTGTGGTCAGTTATTCATTTACAGGATTTAGTGATCAGGATTGTGATAATAAAAGGATTGTGGTGATAATTAGTGCTGTGCGTAGTATTGTGGGAGGAGGATGTTTGGTGAGGGAGGGAGGGAGGGAATCCAGGTAGCGTCACTGTGTGTGGCAGCCATGTTCTTGTTTTGCTCACCATTGGAGCCTGACAGCTGGGTAGACAGCGCTTCGGATTCGTAGTCCTGAGGTTCCGGGTTCGATCCCCGGTGGAGGCAGAGACAAATGGGCAAAATGTTTCTTTCACCCTGATGCCTTTGTTACCTAGCAGTAAATAGGTACCTGGTAGTTAGACAGCTGCTACGGGCTGCTTCCTGAGGGTGTGTAACAAAAAGGAGGCCTGATCAAGGACTGGGCCGCTGGGACACTAAGCCCCGAAATCATCTCAAGATAACCTCAAGAAGATAACCATACTAGCTGAGTGGTTTGTTATGGTGAACACCTATGGTACATAGGTGTATACAATGTGTGTATATAGTGTAATAAGAGCAACAGGAGTATGTTGGGAGTAGCCATTTTGGTGAGGGTGGTAGCGTCATAAATGTAGCACTGTCTGCTGGCTGCTGTGTGATTTCTTATGCAGTGTATGGTAGCCACTATGCTGTTTGGACACATTACCGGCTTACTTGCATAGTTATGGTGAATAAAACATGTAGATACATATACATAACGTATGTAAGTAGTGTAATAAAAACAATAACTGTATGGTGGGAGGAGGAATGTTGGCGAGTAAAGTGTAAGGAGTAAGCTAGGTGTTGGAGGAGTGAGGGAGGGCTGGCTGGGTGTGGTAGCTCACACTCGCAGAGTTCTGAGTGTGTTGATGGTGAATGTATATAGTGTGTATAGTGTGTCAATATGTTGTAAATATACATAAAAGAACATGAAACATTGGATATATATGAGCAATATATGTGGATGCATTTGAGACAAATATAACAGTGTCTTGGAACAGTATGGATGTTCTACTGCCATAATATTGTGTACATGTTCATTATACATAGGACTGGCAAGAAAAAACAAAACAAATGTACTGTACAGTATTTGGAAATGTACGCAAAAAAATAAACAAAAAAGATATTTGTGGCAACTAACGCATGTTGAAGCTGGCAAGCGACTGGCTTCTGGAGTCTGCGTCACGGCCAACCACCAAATCGCGACATCACACGCCATTTTCCGGACCCTATTGCGGCCAAAGTAACTACAGTTTCGATTTTTTTTTACATATCTGTGATCAGGAAAGGGTACTTAACATTTTCAAAAACAAAAAGAATTTTTTCCCGAGAATTTATTTCCTGCACACAGGGAAGGGGGGTACCGTATTTGAAAGGCGAGCAGCACAGTGGTTAACCATCAAAGAACAGGTAATTTTTGTTAATATTTGCCCAATAAAAAACATACAATACCATCATTCAAAAAGAAATTCTCTGGTGTGTTGCCATGACGATATCTCCATAAAATGTTACAATAATGCAGGGGGGGATTTTTTCTCCTGCAATGTTGCATTATTGCCACATGTTTTTGTCAATAACATTCTCCATTGAATCATTTGCCCAAAGTAAAAATTGTTGTTCTAAAGAGTATAATGAAAATACAAGTCAAGTTCTCTAGGCTATAGACCAGCACTTGAAATGAGCTGCCACTTTTTGTGTCATTTCTTTTAGATTTTGTTGAACCACAATCCACAAGTATCTCTTAGTTTGTGAAGTATACATTTTCAGGAATATTTTCTAAGATTTTTTTTTCCTTTAAGAGAAAATTGTTTTATAAGTGTATACAGTACATTCCTTGGTGATTAATACTATTCCAGAAACTATGAGTCTGCAAGAATGTTCACAGCATGAGAGGGAGACATCTAAGACAACTGTAAAATACATAGAAACTAAGGATATGTAGCTGATTTTAAGTGAACTAGTGGGGTAAATTTTTCACAAAGATAGCCTTTTGATGGTGCCTGTTGTTAAGTAATTATTATTTTTTTAGCTGTTTGATGTTTTTCTTGTTTTCTGGGAGGGCTGCCTCAGCTTCCCATGCTAAGCACCAGTCTTGCCTTAGGAAGAAGCACCAGGACCTGGATTCATCAAGCAGTTACGCAAGTACTTACTAACTTGTTCACTTTTTCTCAAACTTTGGGAGCTTTGTTTACCTTTATTAAACAGTTTGAGCTCCAAAGCACTAGGAGGCTGTTTATAACAATAATAGCATTTTATTGGGAAGTTTTGACGCTCGTAAGCTGCTTAATAAATGTAAACAAAGCCGCCAAAAGTTGAGAAAAGATGTACAGGTTCGTAAGTAGATGCACAACTTCTTGTTGAATCTTGGCCCTAGGTCTCTGAGATCCACTCTTGCCTACCAAAAATCCACTCTTGCCTACCAAAAATATGGTGACGGGAACCTGGAGGTCAGAAATCTACTAAAAATTGAGAAAAATGCCACAAGAAAGCATGAGTGCAACAAAACAAGACACTGCTAGGACAATATTAGGGACCCAAATGTAAAGATATAAACCAGCATTTTTCAACCTTTTTTTCCCCCCAATTGGCCTCTTTAGGGTATTTTGTAAACTTTTCTGTAAAGCAATTGTCCCACCAATTTTTGTTAATGAAACTTAAAAAGACATTTTACTCTGTTAATATTCATTCAGTGTGAGCCTTGTGCTGCAAGATTCTCAATATTTGGCTTGATATTTGTTAGCTTTAGTCTTGTGTCTCCTTGCATGTATATATCAGTTCCACTTCTTTCCTTTATCAGTATTTTATTGACTGTACTAAAGCCATATTCAACCAAATATGAAGTTGGAAATTATGACAGTAGTCATTTTGGACCACATGTTTAAATAGCTGTTAAGTTGTATTTGGCAACCACAATTCAGAATGCCAGCTTTTTCAAGCTCTCATCATTGAATTTTAGTTAAATACGTTGCTCTTGGATGATTTCACTGACAGATTCCATGTCACAGGCCAACCACTTGAGCTGGACGGTAGAGTGACGGTCTCGCTTCATGCAGGTCGGCGTTCAATCCCCAACCGCCCAAGTGGTTGGGCACCATTCCGTCCCTCCATCCTATCCCAAAATCCTTATCCTGACCCCTTCCAAGTGCTATATAGTTGTAATGGTGTGGCACTTTCCCCTGATAATTCCATCCCTCTATATCACAACAAAAAAGATACAGCATCCATGGCTTGAGTTCAAAAGAAAAAAATCTGAATACTGGCTGTTATTTTCAGTAATGTTAATGTGTTGGACTTTATATAAAAAAAAAAAAAATTAAGTGAAGGTCCTCATATCATTAGCAGCAGAGAAGCAAAGGGCTACATGTTATTTGCATTGTTCAGTTTAGAGACTCCATATTATTACACTTTTGCATTGTTGAAGTGAGAGGCCTCATATTGCCGCATGTGCAGTAGGGCATCTTTGCAGTAGGAATAGTTAAGTTAGTATTTAAGTTTTTGTATATATATAAATAAATAAATAAATAGTTTACCTGAATGTTGAAGTGCATGGCCTCACATGAGTGAAGGCTCTCATAGTCCAGTGGTATTGTGCAGTCTGGCCTAAACTGGTAAATTGACAGTGCAAACAACCTCGCCCTTGGCTAGGAAGACTTCAGAATAAGCCCAAGATGCTTCCTGTCCTTGCCAAGGGTATATATCAAGCCATGCTATGCCATGCCATATTATTGTCAGTGTTATCTTCTTCTTGAGATGATTTCTTTTTTTTTTTTTTGTGTCCCCGCGGCCTGGTCCTCGAGTGTTGAAGTTAATATTTTACTAGCAGTGTTAAGCTATTATTTGCTTGTGTGTGTGTTATATATTTGTTTAATTTGCATGCCTGTTTTTTTTATTTAAGAAAGTGTTAAACTATTAACAGTAGCATGTTAGGCAAAATTCTTTTATAAATATTTACCTGAATTAACATGTATATTTTTTCTTGAAGAAACCTAAAATGTTTTAGATTTCATTAATAAAACAAAAATTATCTTTCTGAGTTGCACCTTGGTAGCTCTATTAAACCATATTGCCCAGATCACTGTGAGCACAGCAGGATCTTATTGACCTCTGAACCCTTTCTCAAAATTTTTTTCCATAATTTAGTGTGGAGGAGCACATTGGAGTGTACATTTATATATATCTCAATCCATCACTGCAAGTCTCTGCTTTCTGTGACACTGAACATCTCAAACCACTCGGCACTCTGATCCCCCTTCTGAAAACGATCCTTTGGAGCTCTGAGAACCAAGCATTGATCTGCAACTACATATTTATCAATGACACACTACCTCAACCATCACCAGCTAGACTACTGGATTGGGAAAGTAGCAATCTTCACTTTATGCCCAAGGGGGGGGGGGGTCATTCTACACAAAGCTCTATTTCTGAGCAAGGTCCCCTTGGGAGCTTCCCTAAGCCATCTCCCCATAATGTGCAGCTAACCTACATTCAAACAAATGAAGCTAAAGAAGGTGGGCTGAAATGTCTGGCCAATGGCATACTACAATGGAGGGAGATCTGTGGTTGGAAAGTGAGAGATCTGGCAGTATCAGTTTAGGGGCATAAGATAGCCCAGGCAGTTCGAATCCTGCCTGGGATTCGAACCTGGACTTCTCGATTACGAGTTGAAAACGAGCCAGATTGTACTACTCGTATAATCTTTGGTGTCATAGCATGCTGTTTCCCTCAGTGGTGGATTAAGGTATGTTACCACTATGCTTCTCGCTCCTAGACTACAGTTCAAGACTATTTGTAAGTTTACTCGTCTCTATGGGTCTCGAGTCAAAAAGGACTTGGCATGCTAGAAAGGATCTATGGCTCAGGGAAGCTGCCATGAGGCTTTGGTCATAAATTGTCAATTTCTGTTGAGCATAATAGATGTACTTTTTATTCTTGGACCTCAAATTTGATCTTACTCATGTGCATTTTTATTAAACTTTAATAAACAAATTTTATAGGAAATTATCATTTACATACTTAATGTACAAAAATGTCCTTTAGGTTGTTAAATTAATGGAGGGCTTTTAACTTTTTTCAGGTAGAACACAGTATGACCAAGTTCCAGCTTCCAGAAATTTTGGGGGAATGATTGTGTCTTTCCGGAAGTCATTGTGGAGAACTCATGATAAAAGTGGTAAGATATAATTAAAAGTGTGTGTTTGGTTAGTGTTTTGCAAAAGTTTCCCCATTAGGTTCATCTTGTCCTTTGGTTGTATCTTAGAAACTAGTCACAGTGAGCAGACAGTACATTGACTTCTCCATTGATGGACCAATTAGACCACATCATTTCAGTAAACTTGGCGGATTAATGCAGATTGTACTGCATAACCGAGAAGTCAAAACAGTTAATATTTAGAACATAGTACTGTAATAAAGAAAGCCACAGTAGACCTGTTGGCCCATGCGAGGTAGCTCCTATTTTTATGTACCCAAACTCATTCATATATTTGTCTAACCTATGCTTAAAACATTCCAGCAATCTTACATCTATGATACCCAGTAATTTATTCCATGTATCTTCAACCCCATATAGAAACCAATATTTACTCAAATCTTTCCTACATCTTAATTTATTCAATTTATACACATTGTTTCGTGTTCTATTTTGTGTTGATATACAGTACTGTATTTAAAACCTTGTTTTTAACACTTTAATCCATTTGCATACTTCAATCGTGTCACCCTCTTTCTCTTCGTAATTTCAGAAAATGTAAATTAAGCTTTTTAATCTCCCTTCATAATTTATTTATTTTTATATATACAAAAAGGTACATTGGGTTTGTGGGAGTTCAAAACATTGATATTTATGTTCTGGCAAAGCCACTAACTTGCATAGCATTTTGGGCAAGTCCTTAATCTAACAGATACAGTGTACCACCGTTTTTTAATTTAATCCATTCCCCGAGATGGTTCGAAAACCGAAAATTTGAAAACCAAAACAAATTTTCCCATGAGAAAAAATGTAAATTGAATTAATCCGTTTCACACCCCCAAAATATTAACTTAAAAATACATTTTATACAGACTTCTACAATACTTATATTTTGTACTAAATTATGTACAAGTTTATCTTACCTTTATTGAGGACTCTTGTTGTCATATGGAAAATGGTGAGGAAGGGAGAAGGAGGAGAGGTGTTAGTGTTTGGAAGGAGAGTCCCCTTTCATTATAACAGTTGTGATGACATTTCTGGGGTGCTCTCTCTCTTACATTTTGCAGGCATACCACTAGCATCTGGTTGTGGCTCACTGTTTTCTTGTCTTATAAGAATACTGTATGTCTAAAGACTCTTAGTTTTCCTCCATTTTAACACTTGTCTGTAGTGAGACATCACATTTTCTCGCTATGAATGATCTCTTGTTTTTCCTCAATCGTCATCCTCACAACTATTTTCTTTGGTTGAACTTTACCACTGACTTTCTTGGAATCCATGGCATGATATATATAATAACTTTTTATGTTCAGAATCCAAAAAAGCACAAAAACAATAAATTTCTTCACAAAGAATTCAAGCGCGGTCATCACTAGGGAGACACTGGTAAACTGAAGCACGCTATGTGCTCGGTTGGCCCATACGTATATCAACAAACTCAAGCACTGAGGCAAAACTTCAGATGCCAAGTTAAATTTTTTTAAAAGATTGAGCCCGAGAACTGAAAAATTTGAAGAGGTGCATTCGAAAAGTTTGTTTGTTTGCTTATTTCCTTGAGAGTTGAGGGAGTTCTGCCTCCCTGTTCAGTTTTTAGTTGCAATTTTCTTACCAGTGGGATTTGTTTTGTTATGCCTACCTTTCTGGGTGCCTAACCCCAGTTGATGGCAGACAACGAATAAACCCCCAATCACAGAGGGGGTTTCCAGAGGCCATTGCTCCCTTGCCTCTGAGGGAGGGGGCAGGTTCTGGCACGTAGTCCCCGGTAGGTTGAATTCCATTGACTAATGCCCTAGACAAATATTTTGCATATCAGTCCGATGGCTCCAGGGAGCCTCCGGGTCTTACCCAAAAAATGACGTTTCATTACATTCAACGCTAGTTTTTTGAAGGAACAGTTCTCCCATGTAAAGTGCACAACCATGCATTTGCAGATGTGGCTGCTGAACTGGTGGGATTTTTAAATGTTCCCCTCATTAAACACTTGGTTTCAAATGTTCTCTACATCCTCCTCACACTATATCAGTGTGCATTACAAAAGAGCACTTACAGCACCTACATCGGAAATAGTAACTTCAGGTAGCCGCCAGGGCTCGCCCAGAAATTAGCATTTCATTACATACAACACTGGCTTTTTCTGGTAGACCCCTCGGTGGGGTAGGGATATGGGCACCAGAAAAGACTTTTTCATTATATTTAGCACTTCAATTTTTGTCTTCTCTTAGGAGACTTTCGTACCGTGATCACCGATTAACTGGCAGATCTTAGTCCTAGCAGTATTGAATATTGTACACATTATGCAATTATAATTGTAAAAGCACTGTGCACTCAAAGATATTTTTGTCACTCATACATACACATATGCATGTAATCAGCAGTTTGGAAGATATAATACAGTATAATGTGTATTGTATTGAAACAAATTGAATTTTTATATTTTTGCATAAAGTTTAATTTTGTCATTTTCAGATCAGAAGATTAGTCGAGTGAAGAAAAAAGAATGTCAGCAGCTAACAAATAATTGTCAGCAAAAGATGGGTACTACAAGAGTGGAACCCAAAGGACAAAGGAGTAACATGCCCCATCATCCAAGAGATCCCGAGAAAAATGTTGGTAGAGATGATATCAGTAAGGAAGAAGAGCAGGCCACAGACTGTGGACCTGATAGTGGGAATGTAAAAGAACATAACAATTCTGATGCTTCTAGACAGTTCCACTGTGACCCACATACTGCCGAGGAAGGTGTCGCCAGTAAACTGGGAGAACAAACTCCAGCAAACACTGCCCTCGGCAGTAATGCGAGTCTTGATGCGAATAATGATGCTTTAGAAGAAACAGGAGGGATGGCGTTTGCCAATGAACTGGATTTACCTGAGGTGTGTCTACCTCTCATGCAAGATAGTTCTATGTCTAATCTTTTCATCATTAACAAATCTGATATGGGCTGCAGTAGAGAGCAACATGCCAATGTTGCTACTCCAGAGTGCCTCCAGTTTGTTGAGACTTCTTGCCCAAGTTCTTCACAGCCTAATATCACAGCATTGCAATGGCCAGGACTTGGAATTCAGTGTCTAGACAAAAACATAAGTAAAAGTCATAGGGAGATACTTTTTACACCTGCAGCCATTATGACTAAACATATAAAATCAGCTTCAGTTGGGGATATTACATCAACTCAATTCAAGAAGCTACAGAATAATCAATTTTCACCTCAAGTAAGACCTCTTCAAGGTTCAAAAGTACAGAAACCCCAATGGCCTCTTGTATGGCAGCCTAGTGTAGACAATCTGTATGGGTCTCCAATTTTATCTAGAAAAAGAATTTTCCATGTAAGGAAAACATTGGCAGTATCTAAATGTGGTGATCTGACTGGACAGGGTAAACATTTGAGGGTAGCTGCTCTTATTAATAATGTTAAGAGATCATTTTCTGATCTTTTCAATTTGGAGGAAAGCAATATTCAAAATGTTACAGCTATTGAAAAATTTTATACAGCTGATGCTGATGAGAAAAATGTTTTAAATAATGAGACAAATATAGTAGAGTCCTGATTTTCTAAAGTATTTGAGAATTTGGGACTCGTAACATTGTGGTTAATCTTTACTTCGTTATTCATGGCTTATTTTTTTTCATTCTGGAAAGGATCCCTCAATAGCCTGGTGAGCTTAGTTCTGGTACCACAAAGTCTTAGCCCAACACACCAGGCCTCCGAGGTCTGTCTGCCTCCTACCGAGAGCCAAGACCAGAATCTGACTCTACAAAATGTGGAGAGCAAGGGAATTGGAGATCAACCTCAAAGCTAGGGAAAATCACCAGAATGTATGAACACAAAACAAACAAAAGCTTGAAGGAAATGGGGACCCTGGATGGCAGCCCAGGTCACCTGGGGTCATAGCGGGCCTGTGCCCTCACTCCTCCATCTGATGTAACCTATCCAACACCAGTAGCTTATTTTGTGTCCATAATTGGCAAAACAGTTTCAGTTAAGAGGTGATGGCTTTCCATGGAACATTATTTTCCGCTGGTGGCCATTGCTTAAAAAAAAAAAATAATAATTTTCATTATATTTGTCAGCCATATTTAATGTGCCCTAGCATTCCATTTTGCATCTGACCATGGTCAGGATTTCCTTTCCAGGGATTAGCTTGGCTCTGGGAGCTTGCAACCTCGCGAAGCAGGTATCTCCAATAACCCACCAGAGATACCTGCTTTAAGAGGTTGAAGGAATCCCCTTTATGGGCTGACTACTCTTGTGTTATTTTGCTTCCAGGCAAGCACATGAGATATATTCTCTCATACAGGGCCAGATGATGGAGAGAAATATGGCTCCTCAAATTAGAAAAAAATCATCCGTTCAATGTAATGAAAAGCTTCTTGCTGGTGGCGGGCCCCTCCTCTGAATCTTCTTAAGCTACTCACCTGGAATCCTCCAAGCCTAAGTACCACTCCAGGTTCTAATGAATCATGAGCACCTAGTGGAAACCAGAACTAGAATCTGGTCCCATCAATAAGAAAATATACAAGCTCATTAAATTACTGAAGAAAACATTAACATGGAAAATATTGAGAAAATCTGTAGGAGCTATGATGAGGGTTCGGACCTATGCGGTGGGAGTTCCCACGCACACGCTCTTAGCGACTAGACCATGACATGGATAAGAATTACTTACGTGTGTTCAGTAGAACACACAAGGATTTCCTGAGGCTTCTATTAAAGCTGGGAGCCTTAGGCTCTGTCATCTGGAACTTGTTCTACCTGTGATGCTCCTCTTTCAATACACTGAGTAATCACACTAATGTGACTGTATCAACGAGTAAATTTATAGGAGCCATGATGAGGGTTCGAACCTATGCGGTGGGTGTTCATATGCTCTTAGCGACTAGACCACGACAGATGACATAGGTTCGAACCCTCCTACGGATGAGGGTTCATCCGTAGGAGGGTTCATCCCCACCATGAGTGTAGCTCTCATCCTGTAAATATACAGTTTACTAAATTGTTGTTCAAGTGTGTAAATTGCATGTATCTATTATTTGTGAAAATACATTTCATGACTCGTTCACGTATATACCGATGCAATACTATGTATTTTTACAGAAATTCTAGATGTTTTTGAGGATGAGACTACCTATTGCTTAAAATAAGTATATTAAGCAATTACTGGCAATTAAAATTTGTAATAATTTGTCTTGTATATAGTAGAGTATTAAGCCTTGTATATATTGTGTATAAAATTATAGGATAAAAGATGTTATTAAAAAAATCTTAGCTTTTCTTAGGCAATGCCTTTCTCTAAATAAACTGCTGGGTATATTTTTTTATATAATGTAATATGAAATAATTAAATCCTATATATTCTTGTGGACTTGTATTCATTAATTAGATATCAATATCTTTGGAACATTTTGTGATTGAGGATCTCTGGTCTATGTGGTTGGTAAAAATTCTTACCTCTCTGTGAAATGTGTGTTGGTGACAGGAAACTTGTTGCATAACAGCAAATCAGCACCTGCTGATTTGCCCAATTTTTAGTATTTCCAGATCTATATTAATCCTTTGCTAATGATATTTTTGATATCTATTTAATCCCCCAAGATAGAATTTGTCCACCAAGAAAATGCAGTAGAAAACTAAAGATTAATTGGCTAACTTTCACATATCTGCAAGTTCATAGAGAATCAATCTTAAGGTAAGAAATCATTCATTATCTCGCAGTGCATTCTTATAAAAGCATCACGGTATGGGTTTTGTCAAACAAATCTTGCCTAATGAACTTACTCACATTTATGGAAATTGTCCTCACCCCCCCCCCCCCCCTCCCTTCAAAGGATGGTGCCTTGACATGATGAGGGCTCTTGTGTTGTTCCCGTGGATAGGGGATTGCTCTTGCTCCCCTCTCCTGCCTGCCTGCTAGGCAGTGCACAAGCAAAATACGTCACCGTATGTCAGCCATGTATGGAGACTTTGGTATTCCTTTATGTTCCTTCATCTGGGAGTTGTCTCCCCAGCGGCTATGGCCCCTGCAGGGCAACATACTTCTTGACCCACCTGAATCAAGTAGCTCATCTGGTTAGTCTGCTTAGACATCAGGTCAAGTGGGCACTGTGGGGTATGTATGCCTATCAGTCACTGGAATACTGTTCAGCCCTTCAATGGTGACCCATGTTTGTATACTGTTCACATTACTCCTGAGGTTGCTTCCTCCTGTGCTTGTGCTTCCCCTTTCCCTTAGGCTCTGGAGGGTTGGGATGCTGGGCAGCAGAGTTTTCACTGATGTGTTTGTTACCTTCTGACCTTATTTGTCTTCAGACTCGTGGGGTGGGCAACCATGCCCCCGAGTCATTCAGTGATAGGTGGATAAACTCCATAGCCCCGGGTATGTTGGGTCCAGACTATGGACCCACCCTAATATCGGGGAAATAGTGTTCCATGTTATTTTCATATTAAGTTTATTTTCATAGTAGCTTGTCTTGGATTTTTATTAATTATTAAGAGGAGTAACTCTTGGACAAATCTCCAGAGATTACCTTTAGCCTGTATTTCTTCTCATATTCACGTTTCTTGTTGATTGTTTTGAGTAACCCTTTTTGAACCAAGGATTGTTGGTTCTTTTGGTTGTGACTTGTTACATGGGACAGTAAACATTATGAAGGCTTAGAATTTTGTGAAGAAATGTTAGTATACCTAGGTTGGTATGGATTCTATTGAATCCATATGCTTGAATGGCAGGAAGTGGGTTCTATCTTTCAGGTATTCTTTGGCAGAACTCTGTAGCATCGCTTGAGGACTGCTTGTTTTCTCTATTGCTCCCCAAGGATGTGAGCAAGTGCCAGTTCCATGGGCAGCTGCATGTTCTCTCTCAAACCCTTACTCTGGAGACCACAGAGCTCGTACCCATTCATGAGCCTTCATGCATGCTTGGGCAGTTGTGGAGCTGTTTGCAGATAGGCTCCATGTGGGCCTGGATTCATTGGCATCAGTCTCCAGAGTGGCTGCCTCGTTGCCTACAGTGCCAGGTTTGGTGGCTGTACCCAAGTTGCTTGCCCCTCTTGGGAGGCAATGGAGGCATTTTACTTGGACTGTCATAATACATGCGAACAGGCTGTACTGGCCCAGGCTTTAGATTTGGCCTGGTCTTTACCCTTTTTGTTTGCCTCCCCTTTTCTCTCTTTCCTGAGGAGGCTGTTTTTAAAGTCTTTTCGGCCATTGCGGTGGCATTTCCGCCTCTTGGTCAGGTCTTATTCTAGCAGGGTTCTGCCCCTTCTGGTTGGTGGTGGTGTGGTAAGATTGGGGTCTCAATTGCTGTGGGTCAGGATGGGTCCCCAGAAGAGTTAGATTTTTGGAATCTTGTGCTTCTTCTGGTTATTGCCTCTTCTGCATCATTGCCATTAAGCTTCGTGGAAGGATGGCTCACTTTACCAACTCCTGGTCCCACGATTTGTAGACTTACTGTGTTGTCTGCCTCAGCCTTTGGTAGAACTGGTCTGCTCTTTCCCCCATGTCATGGTCAGTGGTGTTAGGTCAGGAGCCCTGCCCTCAGCTCTTTGCACTCATTGTGACATGGTTGGACTTTGGCATGGCTGAGACTCTGGCATGTGACATGGCTTTACTCTTCATCTCTTTGGTTGATGTCCGAATTGTTTCTGGTCCCCAAATGGGATTCGGCAGATCTACGCAGTACATTCTTGACCTCTCGGAAATAAACAACTGTATTCCCTATCTGACCTAAGTGCTATAGACATAATGGCTTAGTGCTTTCACCAGAAAAAAACCCAATTACAGTGTACCTCCCTGTCGGACGTTCTGCATGACCACTTTTGCTTGGGTTCACCTGGTATTGCAGTCAGATTCTGGGATGGTGTCTCTGGATCTGAAGGAGGCATGGTGCCATGTCCCTATTCATTCGATGTTCCAGGACTGGTTACAGTTTGCCAAGGAATGTCAGGCTACTGCTTCAAGTTTTTGCCCTTCAGCTTGGAATCTAGTTGCACAGATTTTTACCAGGCTAGTGCAGATGGTGATAACCCAGCTGTATCTTTTGGGGGGCTTGAGTCTTGGCCTACCTCAACGTTTGGCTAGTTTGGGCTCCCAACCAGTTCACAAGTCAACATGCCAGGTTCGGGTTCCTGGTAAACTGGTGGAATTCCCAGTTGGATTTGTCCCAGGTTTGAACCTAGTTGAGTCTAGTTTGGGATTTCCTGGCAGTCTCTCTTTAACCCCCCCCCCTTCTCCAATGGCTCTGCTCTGCCTGCAGCTGAGTTTCCATCTGGTGTTGGATTGGGCCCCAGGTTTTTCATTAGTTGGTTGAGTGGTTGTGCAGGAGCCTGAGCTTTAAATGTCATTTCCTCTAAGCAGGGTTTGGCTCTAGGTGCTGTACCTGGGCCTCCATATCTGCCCGTTTTGTTGGGCCAGGACTGTTGTGCTCAGGCCCTGTTTGCCCTCTGTCAGCTCTTGCTTTGCCAGCTTCCTCTTATTTTTTTAGTGGCTCACTGCTTGTTTGTCTTAAGAATTTGTCTATAGACACTTTTTGTTTTCCTACATTTTAACACTTGTCTGTAGCGAGACATCACATTGTCTTGCTATGAATGATCTCTTGTTTTCCCTCTATCGTCATCCTCGCAACTGTTTTCTTAAGTTGAACATTACCACCGACTTTCTTGGAACCCATGGTATGATATATAATAAGAACTTTTATGATCAGAAACCAAAAAAAGCACAAAAACAATATAAATCTTCACAAAGAATTCAAACGCGATCATCACTAGGCGGGAGACACTGGTAAACTGAAGCGCCACGTGCTTGGTGGACCCGTACGTGTATAAACAAATTCCAAAAACCAAGGCAAACAACGAGAACCGAATTGAATTTTTCAAAGAAATAGAGCACGAGAACCGAAATATACGAAAACAGAGGGTCCATTGTATTTGGAAGCCATCTCCTTGAGCCATCATGGAGCTTCCAAGACTATCAGAAAAATGCATTTTGCTACATTCAACCCTGGTTTTCTGCTCCACCTCTCTAAAATTACTCTGCTCCTCTGGTTTGCAGTTTAGTAATAAACTAGACATTTTAATTTTGTACACTCAAGACCCTTACAAGTCTTGTGTACAAGTGTATGAGTAACCTGGCCTAAAGTATACTGCACATGATTTGGTTTTTATCGGTCCAATTTCCCATAGCCAGGGACAAGAAGCCTGTTAGACTTATTGAGGTCCGTCTAGGCCAACTACTGATGACCTTCCTCAGGATGCGGCTCACAACAGCTGCCTAACTCCCAGGTACCCATTTCCTTTCAGGTAAACAGGCATCAAATGAAAGGAAGCATGCCCAACTGTATCTTTTGCCCAGGGACCAAAGCCAGAATCTTCAGATGATCTGAGGAAATAGACCATTGTTCTAAAGGACCAATACAAATTATTATATGATTTACAATTCATATATAATTTTTAAAAAATATTACTTCTTTGCAGACTTGAAATACTGTACTGGCCAGTACCCAGCTGAGTAATGATCGACTAACTGATGTGGATAAAAAAAAAAGAGCAACATTACTCCCTTTTTATTTCAATTCTGGAGTTTTTTGTTTTCAATAGTTTACATAAAAATACACAGCTCTATGCTAGGCAACTATGTATAAACATACATAACACAGGTCTTCATCTTTACATATAATATATTGCATATGAAATGTATATTATGTTGAGAACTGAAGCTGTGTTAATATACAAAATGCATTACCATTATTTAATGCAGATAAATGACTAGAAATGACAGCGAGTCATGAGAAACAAATTAAATAAATAACAGCAAATGTACAGTACAAAACAGATTCAATAATGCCATGGAGAGATTGGCTTACACAACAAAAGTAGCATGAAAATTCATTGGCGGAAGCATTTCTAAAATTAGTATCACCCATATGCTATCCAAGAAAAAGAAAAAATAGTGTATAACACTTAAGACATATGTGTTCGTCATGAGACCAGCTCAAGTCTCACTGAGCATTGCTTGCAGCAAAGTACAAGAATCAATTACCTATATCAAAGTCAATTCAGATGTAAATAAAATGTAACTTTTGTTTTTCCCTAGCTGAGGTAAAATACACTTCGGATTTTATTCTACCATGCTGAATAAGCACGAGATGTTCTTGTGTGTTTTGTTCGGCACTGGTATTTGAATTTGGATTCGACTCTACTGTTACATACTGTGACTGATAAGATACTAGATTGTTTGATAGCTTGCTCATGTTACATAAAAGGGTCACAAAATTTATTTATTCAATGTGATTAAATAATCACATGCCTAGTGTATCTGCCCTGCAGTTCAGTAATGATTTCACAAGAATAATTATGCAAGTTAAC